ACTACTAAAACTCATATTGTATGCAAGAATTAGGTTTACTTTATTGACACTTAATTTTTGAATAGTTTTATTAAATCATACTTTTTTATTTGTTCAAAAAGTTGTCATTGATTGAGAGGCCTTAGCAGATTATTCATTGAACTAGAAAGCAATTATACATGAGACAGCAAGTGAACACTATTGTAAAATTTTGCAGCTCACTGACATAAATGTAAATCCTCTCTAAAACATAGAACATAGTAGGATGCTACTAATAAGAATCTAAGACTAATTAACAAAAAAGGAGAGAAAATGTTTTGGATATAAATAAAAATTTATAAGTATAAAATAGAGTATAAGGATTAAAGTTCCAATATCTAACACCAAAATCTAAACAAAAATGTTATTAAACAAAAAACATTTACTTATTTCAACAAACATGTTATAAGTATAAAATGAGGTAGAATATTTGGACTAAAATTTCAATAAGTAACCCCACAAATCTCTAACAATAAAAAAAACAATCAATCACTAATATACATAATTGCTTTTTTGAAAGGACATGATTTCTATTCTATCTATTATAATGCCAACCCTCACTATATCAAAACTAGTAAACTTAAAAAAATGAAATAGTCAATGAAATGAAATAGTCAAGATTCAATATTGCATATATTAAAACTCGAGAAAAATCACAACATATATTAATATAAAAAATTTGTGGGTGAGGATTAGTATGAAAAGAAACTCATACCACTAAAAGAAAATTTGCTTTCATATATGATGCAACAAGTATAAACATCTTCATATGCAAGTTTTCAAGATTTAAAGCATGTCTTTCCCGTTAAACTAAAAGCGCATCAACCGAAAAGAAGGGGCAAAAACATCTTAATTATATAATCTATATAAATAAAATATTTCATTCAATCATTTCAACAAACATGTAATGTGCATACAAATGAAATACACCACTTCAACTATAATTTCAGTAGGTAACATCACAAACCTATATCAATGAAATGAAATAGTCAAAGATTGAACATATCATATACAATTTACTAAAACTCCAGAAAATCTACAATCCCATATGAACCTAAGAACAAGGAATAGATTATTACCTTAATAACCATAACTTTCCGATGAAAGTTAATAATCATAGCCAATCAACAACGTTTCAAACCAGAAGAGAAGGGAGCACGCTGGAGATCCGCTGAACATCGGGTCAAACACCCATTTCGATTCTCTATGACCTGCCACTGTTCACTCACTACATTTCTTGCTTCTCGCTGCCAATGGCTCCTCAATGGAGGAGTAGAATCGTTGGGAGGTATTGATTTCAAGCTTGGTTGAAGGAATTTTGAAGGTAGGTTGAAATTGAAAAAAAAGTAAGAAGAAAGTAGGGGTTGTGCGTAGGCCTAAGAGAAAAGAAAAGAGAGGAAGAGAAAGGTAATGAGCAGGACTTGGGAGAAAGGTAAAAAATAAAAAGGGAAAAGGTAAAAGGCAAAAAGGGGTATTTATATGATGTAGTGTACAATAAATGTACATATTAACTCCATTTGTCATCATCTGTGTTTATCTATATTCTCTGCTCTCTCTGTGAAATCCAAGAAACTCAATTTTCTGTTGAGGGGAAACCACCGACGGCGCCGCTGGCGATGGCACCCGTGACCGCCGATGGCAGTTCCAATAGAGGGCAAGATGCGCCGTCAACTTCCGGTATCAAAAAAGGGTGCTTGGCGTTTACGACTTCTATGCTGGAATATATCCGTTACATCAAAGCGTTTGTTGTAGTACAGGTTTGCTTTTGAGACTACCTATTATTCTAATAATCAGCTGATATAGATTGGTTTTTAAGGATTTGGATAATAAAATTGAAAGCTAAAAATAACTGTGGTGGGAAGCAGGCAAAGAAGATGACAGCGAGAAGCGAAGAAGAAGCGGCAGAAGCTGATTTACAGGCGTCGAAAATGGAGGTCGAGGCAGCTGATGCCGCTGAACACGCCAAGAAACAGCTTTAAAATTGCAATTGTAAATTTGTAATACCGTTTGGGTCTGTTGTTTTTGTACATATTGAATTTCATTTTCATACCATTAAAGACTGGAGTTCCATTTTTTTTTTACAATCAAAATGGTCATATATTACTAATGTTCAGAACATTCTAGATTAGAGTAGGAGGGACAGAAACCCAACTACTACTATCAGACAAAGGAATGGCCACTAGCTAGAGTAATCTCATGCGAGACACATTCGCTCATGTGAGACATGATTCGCTGATCGTCGAACAAAAGTAATTAATCGAAATGCTCCTCATATAAGTGCTCTAACATCCTCTACAATTGGCCCGAAATATGATAACCCACCTCCCTCTTCAATGGCATGGACGGCTGGCGGAGCATCAAATTCTAACATAACATAATCTCACTCGTTTTCCTTTGGCCAACTCAATGCCTTTCGGAATCTGAGGATTTCAACCTCCTTCATTAAGTTACATCCTAAAAGGTCAATTTAGAAGTAGATATCCGTGAAGTGTGAGGCAGCCAGTCATTGACTCAAGTTCCTTTCTAGGTCAATCTAGATGTAGGTATTCGTGAAGTGTGAGGTGACCAGATAGGACATAGAGGTTTGATTTTGTGTTTTCTTGATTTGGATCTTTTCTTGTGAGCAACAACAGAACATTTACAAATATGAACTCGTAGCTCAAAGTAAGTTCTAATCTAATACGACAGAGACGTATCTGAAGTCTACCTCTATATAAAAAGAGGTGGAATTTTTGAGCTCCCGAAACTAAAAAATGTCACCATCTAACTCTATACAAAAGCAAGACAAAAGTTGACCATTTTTCTGCTCAAATTCATGGTCAAAAATGACAACCCAATGTTCATAAATGTAATGCATCAAAAGGCTCTTTTGAGTAGACCATTGTTGCACCGGTCATAAACAAGTATGGGCAAAAGCAATTTTATCTTCGAAGTCCGAGATGTAATACACATCCTACGAAAAAAAGGTTAAAAGCCCTGCGTGTATAGTTTGTTATTAGAATTGCCACTAACTAACTAATCATCGATATTCGATGTAAAGGGGCAGCCGCTGGAGAACCTCGCGGACCACCTTGTTGACCCAGCTAACCAAGCATTTGCCACAAACTTTGCTCTGGGAAAGTGAATTCATTCATAATATGGATGATATATGATGGATGTGTTTGATTCGCTATTGCAAGGATATGATTTTAATCTAATCCATCTTTCTGCAAAAAAGAGACATGTATATCCTTCATGTCTTTTTTAGCTTTCATGCCGGAACTTGGCCGATTTGGGACAAAGCCTGGATTTTAGCACAGATGGTTTGCCTTGGTTGCTGGATGTGCGACCGCACGGCCGGAAATGGTGACCGAACTTGACTGGGACAGGATTGTTGGTAACACTATTTTTCTGATACATCAGCCCCTATGTGGATTTAACTTGGGTTGATTACTTTTAGATATAAATTTTAGTGTATAAGTTGTTTTAATGGTGTATATATTTATATAAAATTTACGATAGTATATTTTTTGGGCCGATTCAATTTTAATAGATTTTGCTGGTGTATATATATGTATATCAAATTCGATTTTTAGTGTATAAGTTGTTTTGTTTACCACAACGGTACTATGTCATATACGGAGTACTACTTACATGACTAGCTGATAAACATTTTCAGAGTCGTTTTTCTGTTTATCACGCTTATCAACCAACTTTTTCCTCAAACACGTAACTTTTGATTTCGCATGCTGAATTGTGTAATAAGCAGAAAAAGTAAGGTTGGAGTTACTTTTCAGGTTGTATTGACTGAAATTTAGATGACTATTTTAGCTATTTTTACATATAATTTTTTCTTAATTTTATTGATAAATATATTTTAAAAATATTTTTTTCTTAAATCAACAGAATCAGCTAATGCAACCACTTCAACCAGAGTTTCATAAATTTTAGCAAAACTAGCCAAAACAGTCGATTTTTCGTGCTACCAAACGGGCTTTTAATGTGATTTGAAACCCGACCGACGACCACTTTTACCGACCCGTGCACGAAGCCTGACCGGCGACCGCTTTTATGACCCGTTCACGCAAGGCACATGTTGATGACCAAGCCACCATGGTGGAAGAGTCATGGTGGTCGTCGTGAAGGATTTCCCTTAGTATCGGAGAGCGAACAAGGAAAAACCCAACCTTAGCATATATTTATCTCTTAATATACTTTTTCCAAAAAATAAACACTTTTACATTTCATATCGGATCTTTATATGTTTATTCTTTTTTACATAATATATTACTTTGTATAGAATATTTGAATCTATAAATAATTTAAACAATCTACACATAATTTAAACAATTTATGTTCTGTGCATCGCACGCCGCACGGGTGTAAATCTAGTTGGGAGAAAATGGCGTTGGGAGATTTGGTATTTTTTTGTGCGTCAAGTTTGTTATTGCACTCTAAAGTGATTCAGATTATTTACTTCGGGAATGTCCCCGTGTGGTAATTTTACATTTTTACCGCTATGGGAAGGAACTTTGGAAGATTTGTTCAATCCCGGTTAAAGTGGTTAAACTTGCAACCATTTATCACAATTATTTTTCTCTCGTAAAATAAACAAAACAAGTCTAACAATAATACCGAACAAAGCCTAAGAATTCTTCCATTGCATTTATCTTCAAAACTCACACCCTTTGTCTTCCAATACATTATACATGTGTGACATAAGAAAAATACACACATCAAAATTAATAAAGGGGTGAACTGGTTATCAGTCCTGGACTTGTGACCGGCGCCCAATGAAAACCAGACTTCAGACCGTGTACGGGACTAAGTTTCCGGATCCTGATCAAGACCAGAACCGGTATGAGTGGGCTATGTTACTCGGTCTCAGGTTCCAAAATTTTGGGACTGGAACTGGGAAGTCTCCAAACAACAGGTTCACTATTTTTTTCTTTTTTTCATATTGGCATGGAGGAGTGTAATTTAAACGATCACTTCATTAATAGCTTTAATGCATTCGCATATATCATACTCCAAGTCCGTATGAAACTTTTCTATATCAGCCAGTACGTGTGTGTGGTGTTTACTGTTTATCAGTTTATGGTCTACTTGCACAATCCTGCAATCTATTTTGACTAAACCTTGGGAGCCTCTAAGCGAATATAGTCATACATAATTCCTTGGAAGGGACTTTGATTTCTAGGCTGAGTCAAGTAAATGGTATTCTCTCCTTCAGACAGCAGATTTCCTTGTATATCCACATTGAATAGCCAGTACAGACCATGGATTCCAAGCCTCGCTATGGAGTTATCCCTCCCAAACAATCTGCTCGTAAACAGCGGTCGATTTGTACTTGGATTATTAACCCGAACCTTCAACCAAATTTGCTATTAGCGAAACGATAGACAGAAAAAAATAGTAAGAGCCAGTGTTCATTATTTCCATTTATTTATGTATAAACCTGTAATTCGGCAAGGGTTGAAGATGCAATTGCCACTCGCAGCTTGTAGGTTCCATTTTGATGGACATTAGCAAGTCTGAACTTGATTTGCCATGTCGTTCCTACATATGTACCATCTTCCTTTTTCCTGTATTCATCAGTGCTGCTTGTCAATTGGGAATAGCCAAACAAGAAACATAAAAGAAAATGTAATACGAATATACGATAGTATATCATTTAGCATTCATTTGGGAAGACGAAGGAATTTTATATTACATAACTAGAAACAAAATGGAGGGAAAATTAAGATAAAACTAAACAACATATTTATTTTAGATATTTGAAAGCTTTGTGAAATTATTACATTTTTACGACTAAAATAAATGTTACTCCGTATATACCAAAATGTGACTTCATATGTGTAGTGACTAAAATAGTAAATTAATCACAATGACTTATATTCAATTGTTACACTTAAGTGATCATGGCACTGTAATAAAGTAATAATTAATCATACTGTGTTAATAAATTTTATTTCTATAATATTTTTTTTAAAAACTCAAACTTTATTTACTCATGCATGCTTAGGGGTGGGGAAGAATACCGAAATATCGGTATATCGCACGTGCCGTCCTGAGAAAAACTGAATATGTTGCAGTTTTCGGTATACCAAATTTTTCGGTACGGTAACGGTATAGAATCTTTAAAAAAAATGGTATTTGCATTAAATTTTGGTATACCAATGTTATACCGAAAGTCCAACTGAACCAAACACATAATAGCTTTATCTGTTATAAATTTGAATAAGCCCAATGGAATAACCATAGCCCAAAAGTCCAAACAATACTACTCTTTTCTAAAGCCCAAAGTCTGCCTAGTCTTCATGAATCAAGACTTCAAGAGTTAGGTCCGGAGTTGAGGAACGCCATTGTCTTTCTCTTCTTTCAGGAGGCACGACGAACTCATGAGGAGTTAACCATGCAGCAGCAAGCAGTGGTTCAAGTGAAGCAGCAGCAGTTCAGCTCTAGTGAAGCAGGACACAAAGCAAGGATCCCACTGCAAGCAAAGACACGAAGCAGGGAGCCAACTGCAAATAGAAATTGTTTGCAAAATCTTCTCTCAATCAAGGTAATGTGTTCAACATTGTCTTTGTTTCACTAGTTTAGACCTTTCTGCAAATTGAAATTAATACTGAACTTAAAGTAGGAAGTATTCTAAAAATGATACGTAGTATCTTTATGCTTATGCTCCATTGGCAGTGGCGAAACTACTAAGGGGCTTTGGGGGGGGCGGGGGTCGTGCCCCTGCAGTTCTTTTATTATATATATTAATATGGCTAATGGCTGAAACGTTTGATCGAGGAATGTATGCTGGCCCTGTTGGTTGGTTACCTGGTTTAGAGGGGAAGAGAGTGAATTTGCAATGGGAACTTGGAATGCGGTCAGAATTGGCTGGTAAGGGTCTTGGTGCATTGATTTATGCTGGAACACGGATAGTGGAAGGAAGCAGTTCATTTTCAGAATGGGATGAACTAGAACTGAAGACGTCACAGTTTACCAAACAGATGAAACTTGAGATTCATGCATTGGCAATTATCGGAGACTGGAGAAATATTAATCAAAAGGTTTGATGATTATCATGTATCGATTCATGTTAGCCGATCCCAATATCTTTTGGGACTACGGCTTAGATGTTGTTGTTGTTGTTGATGATTATCAATTTTACATTCATTCAGATTCCTTATTAACTTATTAAGATCGAGATCTTAGGTTCAACTTGCATCCGTATTTCGTAGTCTGTGGATGGATCGAAATTGTGAAGAGACTTCGCAGACTTCAAATTGATAACACAGATAGACCTATCCACAATGTAAACCATACTATAGACCACTTCCTCTTGCCGCCGCCTGCCTTCCCGGAGACCAGAGTTTTAAAGCCGCAGCAAGCTACCCGTCTTGCTGGAGACAGGAGTTCTAGAGCTGCAGCAAGTTACCTGTCTTACTGGAGACCTTCACTTTCTCTTTTATATGCCCCTCCAAGATCCCTAGCTGATTCTGCCTTTGTTCATTGGCAGCCACAATCACCTTAGTATGCTAAAGTGGAATAATGAATATATTCAGGTTTACTAGTTACTTATTATGATAAAATGAATCCAAGTAAAACAATTTTCCTTTTAGAAACTAAAAAAATGAAAATTCCAGTCAAGTAACCCTAACTAAACAAACCTTTTACATATTTAGGATTAAATTGGTGAATTTTCATGTTTTACTAATTACTATGTTAGTAGAAATTTCATTTTTCGATTTCATTTGCTTCTTACTTTTTCAAATTTGTAAACATGATTGTTAAGTCTGTTTTTGGAAATTTTGGTTATTTTAATCATTATACTAAAGTCTTTTAAAGAGCCTCGAACCATAATAGTACTCCCAAGTTCAAGTTTTCTTCTTTTTGTTTTCAAATAAAGTTAAAAATAAAAACATATTAGTGAGTTATATAATGTTGCAGCTAATCCTTCTATATTTCAAGTATATAAACTGAAGTTTTGTTTTTAAGGAGCTTCAAACCATAATAATACTCCCAAGGTAAGGTTTTATTCATTTTGTTTTCATAGAAATTTAAAAACAAGATTATATTAGTAAGTTAATAATGTTGCAGCTAATCCTCCTATATTTCAAAGTATATAAACCGAAATTTGTTTTTAAGGAGCTCCAAACCATAATAACACTCCCCAAATCAGGTTTTCTTCTTTTTGTTTTCAAAGAAAGTTAAAAACAGATTAGTGAGTTTAAAATGTCTCAATGAGTTTATTCCATATGTCTTCATTTTTTAAATCTGGGCAGTTTACTACATATAATACTTCTTCATAAAGCTTAATATGTGTTTTAGTTATAAGCTATGAAGCACGGATACTTCCCTAGGGTAGCGTATCGGCATATCCGATACGTTCCCGTATCCGATATTCTAGGATACCTGTACCGTACGTTCCCGGGTCGTATCTGCAATTTTTAAAAGTTTCCATTTTTTTTTGTAATTTTTTGAAAGTTTTCGATACTCGTATCCTGACGGATACCCGTATCAACTTTTTTTAAAAAAAAAATCCCAAAATTTACTTAATAAAATTCTAAAAAAAATGAAAATCTAAAACTACATTTTACTTGGTAATCAAATAATGGGCCTATATCCGAATTAAGTCATTAACTCATACTCCGAATTGGGTACTTGCACTTTTAATTTCAAGATTGTTGTTGTTTGACTTATTTCTCATTTTAAATTAATGACTTATTGACTGCATTTATATTTCAAGATGCACTAGTGTATATGAGAAATATTATGAATTTATTACTAAGTATCTTGAAAAAGGAAAATGATTCAATGCAATGAATGGATAGACATCATAGGATATTATATGTATATATATATATGTGTGTATATATATATATTCAAAAAAAATCTATTTTTAACATTTATAAATAGACCCCTATAACTTTTAATATTTGTAAATACACCCCCATAACTTTTAATATTTATAAATATGGCCCCGTATCCGTATCCTACTTTTTTTGGTTTTGACGTATCCCCGTACCCGTTTCCACGTTTCCGCGTACCGGTATCGGTGCTACATAGGTTATAAGCCTTGACTAGCCATGAATATGTTTACCGCATTGGAGCCAGGCATTTTTTTTATTTGCTAATGATGTTCATTAAGTAAAATCTCAATGGCTTGACTTGTAAAAATTATTGATTTTGATAATAATTACGGGTTTTCAATATTTGACTAATATAATATTTATTTGATTTTCAGAATTAAGAATCGAATATGAATCATCTCACAAGTTACAAGTGCGTCTGAATCACCAAATACAGTTGAATCTGAAACAAACAATGAATATCATCGAGCCGGAAACGAGCAAAAGGGGGTTGGTTCAACACAAAGGCCTTCAGTAGAGCCAAAGCGAGGAGAGTTTATTGGGAACATTGTGCAAATGGTACAAGAACGTTGGCAGATAGGAGCATTTAAAATATTACAATATGCAATCACTGTAAAGTTGATATCCCGATCAGTTATGAAAGTACTGGTTGTTTAAAAAATGACTTAGTCAAGAGATGCAAGTCAAGTCCTCTATAAAACGCAGGGAGTGATAGAGGTCAAGTTGTATTCACGAATGAGTTCATGGGACAAGTATGAGAATTGAAACTTACCGAGTTTGTTATAATGAACGAAATGTCATTTCGGGCTGCAGAGGAAAAAAGATTTGTTAATCTTTTGCATGAATTACAATCTAGGTTCGAAATTCCCGATAGCAAGAAAGTTGCAAGCATGGTTTATGATTTATTCTTAGTTGAAAAAGTTAAGATAAAAAGTGTGATTAGTGGCTAATGAGTAAGTATCATAACTGATACTTGGACATCCATTCAGAACATTAATTACATGGTTGTCACTGCTCATTTTTTAGATGATGATTACATGTTGAACAAAAGCATCATTAATTTCACAAAAATCACTAGTCATGTTGGGGAAGAAATAAACAAGATGGTTGAGATATGTTGAAGAGAGTGGAGGAGAAAAGTGTTTTCTATAGTGGTCGATAATGCTTCTTCAAGTGACACAACAATTGATTACTTGAAAAAAGAATGAAAAGTGAAAACAAGTTATTATTTGAAGGAAAGTACTTGCACTTGAGGTGTGCATGTCACATCCTTAACTTAATTGTTAAGGATGAGTCGGAAGAACTTAAAACTTCAACTAAAGCTATAAAAAATGCAGTCATGTTTTTTCATTAGTTACCGGTTAAGTTGAGTAAGTCTCGAGAATTTGTTGTGTTAGCCAAACTTTTTAATATGTCAACGGTGCCAATGGTTGTCAAGACACGGTGGAATGTAACTTATAAAATGTTGATGTTGCATTGAAATATAGAAGGGAGTTTGAGAGCATGAATGAAGAATGTTTTCCTTTCATGTGAATAACAAAGATCAAGAAAGGGAAGCACAACCAAGTGCTTTAGATTGGGAGAATGCACGAGCTTTTGCGCACTTTTTGAAAGAGTTTTATGATCTTACAAAGAGCTTAGTGCAACAAAAACTCTCACCTCTCAATTGATGTATCATTCAATGATTGCTTTCCAAATTGAGATTGAAAAAGGACTACTTGATGACATATATTCATTCTAAAAAAGGTTGCTAGTGCGATGCAGACAAAATTTGACTAGTGGGGAAATTGGAATAATATGAATCTTTTGAGTTTGATTAACAATGTGCTAGACCCAAGAAATAAACCCCAAATGATTAAGGTTAGCTTTAAAAAGGTTCAAGGTGCTCCAACAAACGTCTAAGGGTTCATTGATAAAGTTAAAAAGATTTTATTACTTTGTGGATGGAGTACAAAGGAATGAATGAAACTTTTATTGTTGTGAGACAAAGTCTGCAAGTGCAATCGGGTGATAGAGATACCAGTGATGGTGACAGACTTTGGGATGAATTGTTCAATGACGTCAAAGCACAAAATGAAGAAGAGTACAAACTTCAAGAGATATCAAATGAGGTCAAAAAGTACCTAACTTCAAGTTGTTCTTCATCATTTTGTGTTTCCACAACAGTGAGCAATTCATCTCAAAGGCCGTCACCATCACTAGTATCTCCATCATATGATTGCACTTGTAAACTTTGTCTCTCAAACACTAAAGATCTCATTCATTCATTTGTACTCCATCCACAAAGTTATAGATCTTTTTTAACTTTATCAATGAACTCTTGGACGTTTGTGGGAGCACCTTATTAGTAACCTTTTTTAGAGAACAAGTAGTCTTTCTTCAATCTCAATTTGGAGAACAATCATTGATTGATACATCAATTGAAAGGTGGGAATTTTTGTTGGATTAAACTCTAAGATAGCATCATATAACTTTTTCAAAGGTGTACAAAAGGTCTTGCGTTCTCCCAATCTAAAGCATTTGGTGGTCCTTTCATTTCTCGACCTTTGTTATTCATCTCATGAAAATAACACATTGAAGGAAAACATTCTTCACTCATTCACTTGAACACTTTTTGTACTTCAATGCAACATCAAACATTTTATAAGTTGCATTCCACTACGGCTTAACATTCATTCACACCATTGATATATTACAAAATTTGGCTAACCCAACAAATTCACGAAACTTACTCAACCTAGCTGGTGAACAAATGAAGAGACATAACTACATTTTTTATAGGTTTAATTGAAGTCTTAAGTTCTTCCAATCCATCCTTAACAATGAAGTTAAGGATGTGACATGCACACCTCAAGTGCAAATATTTTCCTTGTTTTAATTTTTCATTTTTTTCAAGTAATCAATTGTTGAGTCATTTGAAAAAGCATTATCGACCACTATAGAGAACACTTTTTCTATCTCCCACTCTCTTAAACATATCTCAACCATTTTGCCTATTTCTTTCCCGACATGGCTAGTGATTTTTGTGAAATTAATGATTCTTTTGTGCAACTTCCAATCACCATCTAAAAAATGAACACTGACAACCATGTAATTAATGTAATTAATGTTCTGAGTTAATGTTCAAGTATCAGTTGTGATACTTTCTCATTGGTCACTAATCACACTTTTTATCTTAGCTTTTTCAACTAAAAATAAATCGTAAACAATGCATGCAACTTTCTTCCTATCGGAAATTTTGAACCTAGGTTATAATTTATGCAAAAGATTAACAAATCATTTCCCCTTTACAATCTAAAATGACATTTCGTCCATTATAACAATCTCGGTAAGTTTCAATTTACACCGTTTTTTATTAAAAGTATGAGTTAATGCACTTGTCCCATCAACTCATTCGTGAGTACGACTTGACCTCTATCAATCCCGCGTCGTATGGAGGACTTGACTTGCATCTCATGACTAAGTGATTTTTTAAATCACAAGTACTTTCATAACTGGCCGGGATCTCAACTTTACAGTGCTTGCATATTGTAATATTTTAAATGCTCCCATCTGTCAACATCCTTGTACTCTGTGCACAATGTTCCTAATGCACGCTCCTTGTTTTAGGTGCTATAGAAGGCCTTTGTCTTAAACCCGATCTTGCTCGTTTCTGGCTCGATGAATTATTGTTTGTTTGTATTTGGTGATTCAGACGGACTTGGCAACAAGTGAGATGATTCAAATTTCATTCTTAATTTTGAAAATTAAATAAATACTACCTCCATCCCGGTAGACTTTGCCAAGTGCAAAGTAGGTAAAAATAAGAATAGTAAAAACTGTGTGGTTGAGATTTGTGCAGAGGAGAGAGAGATATGTGCAGAACCACATATTAGTTGCTTTAATAGGAAAGTGGCAAAGTTTTTTGGGACAACCAAAAAGGGAAAGTTGGCAAAGTCCAATGGGACGGAGGGAGTATTATATTAGTCAAATATTGGAAACTAGTATTTATTATCAAAGTTCAATAATTTTTAAAAGTGCAGCCACTGTCAATCATATGATTCTTATCATTTTGAAGTATATGAAATATACACCTATCAAGTTATTGAGTGAAGCCATTGAGATGTTATTTAGAGAGTGCTTGCAATTGCTTGTGATTTAAAAAAAGTGACTTTTTAAAGTGAATTTGGAAAGTAGTAAAGTTGGTAGTGTTTGAGAAAAAGTTGATTTTGAAAAGTAAAAGTTGGTAGTGTTTGGTAAAATATGTGCTTTTTGTGTAATAGGAAAAATAAAAATCATCTTTTTGCTTTTAAGTGTTTAATTTAAGTAAAAATTGTCACTTGAAAACACTAATTTTAACTTTTTTAAGCCAAAAGTTGAGAAGCGCTTTTTTAAAACGATTGCAAACAGACCCTTAATGAACATCATTAGCAAATAAAAAAACTGCTTGCTTCCAATGTGTAAACATACTCATGGATGGTCAAGGTCTAAAACTAAAGAAAAATGCTTGGTGTACACCTTTCGTACACTCGTCTGTCTCAAGCACAGAGAGTCGTCTGTCCGCAAACAATTCTACAGAGTTGTCTGTGGACAGACCATTCTGTGCGCGTGAGACAGACGAGTGTACGAAAAGTGTAAACCAAAATGTGTACACCTAGCACAACTCAAAACTAAAACACCTATTAATCTTTCTGAAGAGGTATTATGTGTAGTAGGCTACCTAGAAATAAAAAATGCAAATATAGGAAATAAACTCATTGAGACATTTATAAACTCACTAATTTGTTTTTGTTTTTAGCTTTCTTTGAAAATAAAAAGAAGAAAACCTGACTGGGAGTATTATTATGATTTGAAACTCCTTAAAAACAAAATTTCAGTTTATATACTCAAAATATAGTAGGATTCACTACAACATTATATAACTCACTAATATAACTATGTTTTTAACTTTCTTTGGAAACAAAATGAAGAAAACCTGACTTTGGGGTTATTATTATGGTTTGAAGCTCCTTAAGAATAAAATTTAAGAAAAAAACTTTAGTTAAATGATTAAAATAACCAATGTTTCCAAAAACAAACTTAACAATCATGTTTACAAATTTGAAAAAACAAGAAACAAATAAAATGAAAAATGAAATTATTACTAACATAGTAAAACATGAAACTTCTCCAATTTAAATCTAAATATGTCAAAGGCTTGTTTAGTTAGGGTACTTGACTGGAAAGTTAAATTTTTTTAGTTTCTATAAGGAAAGTTGTTTCATTTGGATTCATTTTATCATAACAAGTATAGGAAGATTAGCTACAACATTATATAATTTAGGAAAAATTGAAAATAATAATCCCAACTATTGCCGGTCCGCTAACAATAATCTCAACTATTGATTATTTTTGTATAATCCCAACTATATGGACCGTCCGCCAATAATGGTCCATGACCAGATAACAAGTGAATTTCAAATAGAAATTAAGCGTAAAAATTAAAAGTTGAGATTATTTATAAAAATTACTTGCTATATCTCTTTTCATCCACTTTAGAAACTATATGAATTTATTATAGCCGGTCACGTCGGACCATTATTGGCAGAAGGTCCCTAAAGTTGGGATTATTCTGAAATAATCGATAGTTGGGATTATTATGAGCGGACCGCCAATAGTTGGGATTATTATGAACGGACCGCCAATAGTTGGGATTATTAATATCAATTTTTCCTATAATTTACTAATATGTTTTTGTTGTTAACTTTCTTTGAAAACAAAAAGAAGAAAACCTGACCTTAGCAGTATTATTATGGTTTGAGGCTCTTTAGAAATAAAAATTTCAGAAAAATACTTTAGTAAAATGATTAAAATAACCAAAGTTTCCAAAAACAGACTTAACAATCATGTTTACAAATTTGAAAAAACAAGAAGCAAATGAAAACGAAAAGTGAAATTTCTACTAATAGAGTAAAACATGAAACTTCACCAATTTAATCCTAAACATGTCAAAGGTTTGGTTAGTTAGGGTTACTTGACTGGAATTTTCAATTTTTTGAGTTTCTAAAAGGAAAGTTGTTTTCCTTGGATTCATTTTATCATAATAAGTAACCTATATACTCATTCTTCCATTTGTTAACATACTAAGGTGACTGCGGCTGACAATGGAGCATAAACAACAAACATATACGGTATCATTTTTAGAATACTTTTGCTACTTCCTACTTTAAGTTCATTATTAATTTCTATTTGCAGAAATGGTCTAAACTAGTGAAACAAAGACAATGTTGAACGCATTACCTTGATAGAGAGAAGCTTTTGTAGTCTAAGATTTTGCAGACAATTTATATTTGCAGTCGGCTCCCTGCTTCGTGTCTTTGCTTGCAGTGGGCTCCCTGCTTCGTCGTCTCTGCAAACCGTGATTGTGTCCTGCTTCACTAGAACTGCCGCTGCTTCACTGGAACCGCCGGTTGATGCTGCATCGTTAACTCTCATGAGTTCGTCGTGACTCGTGAAAGAAGAGAAATACTATGGCACTCCTCAACTCCTGACCTAACTCTTGAAGTCTTGATTCATGAAGACTAGGCAGACTTTGGGCTTTAGAAAAGAGTATTATTGTTTAGACTTTTGGGTTATGATTATTCCATTGGGCTTATTCAAATTCATAAAAGATAAAGCTATAATGTGTTCGGTTCAGTTGGACTTTCGGTGTAACATTGGTATACCGACAATACCAAAATTTAACGGTATTTCGGTATGTAGAAAATTTAATTATAGGTCTAAAGAACTCATTTTAATTATATGTTTCTATTATACTCCGCATAAAGATTAAGAAATATAAATACATGTAAAGTTTTATACTTCCTCTGTCCCTTAGAACGTTGACAACTTTCCATTTTGTGTTGTCCCATTAACTTTGTCACTTTCTCTTTTAAGTAATTAATTTGTGGTTCCAGCTAATTCTCTCTCTTCTCCACATACCTCAACCACACATTTTTTACTTTATTAATCTCCGTGCCGGTCAAACTTGGAAAAGTTTTAAGGGACGGAGGGAGTAATATTTTTAATCCAATTTGGATTTCTTCATATTTTCTGAAGTAAAACCAAACACGAAAAAAAAAGAATTTTCCTTGACCTTTAGTAAATAACTTCCCCAACTATATTCCATCCTCCAAACATAGCCTAACAAAACCTGGAAGTGTAAAGATCAACCATACGGCCATACCTAGTAACTTGAGCAAAAAACCAGTCTTTTGAATAGTCACTCTCGCCAACTGTGTACACGAGATCTCCGTTTGGATATAACTCTGAGTATCTTTCCCAAAGTCCATATTGCCTAAACCTGCACAATAGGTGGTATATAGAAGGTGGTCTGGACACACTAATTTCTGCTACTGATAACACACCAAAATAAAATAAAATTTCAGTGCATATCGATACACTTACCTCTCGGGGTGGTTGACAAAGATCTTGTTAAGATACTTTGGGTTTGGATCGGGTATATAGAACTCTGCAGCACTACGGTCAGGGATGCCTATCTCCCAAAGTGTAGGGCCATCCCTTGGAGGCTTGTAAACGATTTCACCGACATCAATTCTACAGCCTGTTTAAATACCACTTTTAGCAAATGAGAAACTAATCAAAAATAAAATGTGAACTATAATTTGCTAAGAAGCTATGGTGTTTAGGACCTGAAGCTATGGTAATGGAAACTTCATTCTGATAGTCTCCGATGAATCCAGGCACCCAAGCATACAGATCGTAGTCACCGGGTAGGACATTGTTGATGGAGAAACACCCATCCTCACTTGCTCTACTCCAGAATTGGTAACCCTGATGAAAAGGATTTCTCAGAAGCTAATTAAGTAGGAAAAATGACAAATATATGACAAGTAAAAACAACAGACAAAAATGTTAGAGATCTTCAGAAATCCAGAGCAGTTTAACAGGAAGATATCAAGAACAAACTAAAAAAACTTTATTGATGAAGAACAGTAACAAGAAACGATGGCCGAAGCCCCCAAAAGCCGAAGCTCCCAAAGAAAGAGATTATTAGTCTCAGTCCTCTCAAGTCCCAAAGACAAATGTCTAAACAGCCTCCCCGACTTCTCCCCAGTTTAGTCTATTTATACTAACTATTACACTTATTATTATTCTTGCTTTATTAGGCCCAATTCCTAACAGTCCATTAGGCCCAATCTAATAGCTACTAGTCTATTTAATAGTCAATAGGTGGGTCCCTATCAATACTCCCCCCCTAAACTTCCACCTTGCCCTCAAGGTGGGCGGTAGGAGAAGACCAACATCTTCTGCTTCCTCTGCCTCTTCCTTGTTCCTCTCCCTTCCCAATATCTAACTAGTTGATGGACCATGAACCTTTCCAAAGATGTCTGGCAGCTTACAAACCCCACAACCAATCTGGATCCTGATGCCATGTACTGCCGGATGTATACTGGGGTATTGACAAGCAAGGAAAGAGCTGCACATTGATATCCAGCATTTTGATACTGAGGTATGGTCATAATTATTCTTCCCAGCAAGTAAGGTTCCACTTCTATATTCCTAACATCTTCACCCAGCTTGGTTCCCATTACAAGAACATAAGTGGAACAGTCCAGCTCAGGACCATTAAAGCCTAAGATCATTTTGTAAGGTTGAAAATTTGCTTTCGCTGCCAATCCATTAGCAGTATACTGAATAGTATGGTCCAGAATTAAACTGTAACCCTTAACTGTCATCCCATTTGTCCTAGTTAAGTTGCCCTGAACTAATGCAACTCCTTCATCTTTGATGGTTTGGTCATGACTGCCAACCATTCCCCAATCCTTCTCTATTGTCCGGAATATCTTGATCCCAAGAATCCCCATTAACATATGCAGCCTATAGATCAAACCTGCACCACCCCTTTGAATAGGTAAACACACTATTGGCATACTCCTTACCTTTTGATCAATTATCAAGGCCTCTCGGAATATAGCAGGACTGTTTTCGTTGTCAAGCATCACGAACATGTCATCCTTATCATCAGTATCATAATCCTCCTTTTCTTTCCAATCCTGAAGAAGCCTGAACCTATTGGTTTCAAAGTCTGACTGTTCAAGATCATGCTTGCAAAAATTTGGAAATCCAGCAATTGCCCCAGCTTCAGTTTCAAGGTTAACTGATGATTCCTTCTTGAGTTCCTTATCGCCATAGGCATGTGTATCTTCTGTAGAAGTTTTCTGCTGTGAATCTGAGAACTCAGATAGCGATTGCGAACTGGGGTCTTCTGCTTGTGAATTTGGAGAAGCGACTTGATACGAAGAACGCGAACAATGAGAATGGACTGTCGAGGAGGAATATTCTCCTCTCACTTGCGTATTTCTTGCTCGCGAACTAATAGCACGCGAACCTTGTTTATCAGTTAGCGAAAGAGACCTAGTCTTCCTCTCTTCAGTTCTTCTGCGACGCCTCTGATCTTCCAACTCCTCTGAACTGACTGATTTTCGCGAGTGACGTGATTGATGATGGCTAGGCGAATGGTGATGGTGAGACCGATGCGATGTGTGCGATGATGATGAAAACTCTGTTCGCGACTGAGAATGGTGAGAAGAATTTCGCGATTTCGTCTGCGACTCCGTCGGTGATATCGGCTCAGGCCTGGTGTTCCTCGATCGATCTCCAGATGTTCTGCGATGCCTCCGCTCTTCTGATTTTTCTGGACTCCCTGACTTTCGTGTGTGATGATGATGAGAGTGATGCGAGTGGTGCGACTTATGCGATCGACTCTTCGAAGGACCTTGAAAGGTGTTCTGCAAATCTGCGATGCTAGCTTGCATCGCCTCTTGCATAGCGCCCATCATGGTTTTCATCTTTTCTTAAAACTCTCTTCCATTCGTGGTGTCATCTCGAATTCCTCCATTATTTCGATGAATCAGATTTTCAGTCTCCAGGAAAGGACGTTGCTCTGATACCAATGTTAAAGATCTTCAGAAATCCAGAACAGTAACATGAAACGATGGCCGAAGCCCCCAAAAGCCGAAGCTCCCAAAGAAAGAGATTATTAGTCTCAGTCCTCCCAAGTCCCAAAGACAAATGTCTAAACAGCCTCCCCGACTTCTCCCCAGTTTAGTCTATTTATACTAACTATTACACTTATTATTATTCTTGGTTTATTAGGCCCAATTCCTAACAGTCCATTAGGCCCAATCTAATAGCTACTAGTCTATTTAATAGTCAATAGGTGGGTCCTTATCACAGTGGCCATTAAGGTATTTTATCAGTGATTGCAGTGACCACGTTGATGTTCAAAATGAATACTTTTTGGCAGGAATGAATGGAAATAAAACACTTACCCTTATTTTAAGATATTGATATCTTTAATTTATTGATAAATTATGTTTTACAAACAGTTCAACTATTAATCCATTTCATTAACTATATCTTTGATGTTAATATAAGCTTTGCATGAGTTGGTGATAACATATAGTGGGATAAAACTGTTTTAGAGAGGTAATTATTAGGAGAGGAGACTGACAGCCTATAACCCAAACTACCTTGCATTCTTTTTGCCATGATCCAGCATCTCCTTGTGCGGCCAATCCCACGTATGCACCACTTGCAGGCATAAGATCATTACAGGCATACCTAATTTAGTAATTTCAAAAGCTTTAGAGATATGTGTACATTAAATATTTGGTAGTGAGAGTTTAACTGTGTAAGACACTTGTTTACCAAAAGACAGTGTGAATCTATCCAATGTATTATCCTTACTTGTCACTGACCAATAGTCTACCACTGACATTTCCCCGCTGATCTGCTGATAAGAAATCCTTTGATTCTGGAAAACTGTATGGCCAGCTTTGTACCTCTACCAGCATCTGAAAAACCAATTAGTAATTTACCAATCCTCGTACATGTATAAGGCTCCATTTGTTTATAGGGAAAAAAATTGGACAATGTTTTCTGGTTTTCCTCTGTTTGCCACAGAAAACATTATAGAAAATATTTTAATGTATTCGGTACTAGAAAATATTTCCCTTGATTCTTTCAACATTTTTCTATAACTGTTTTATGCTTTCTATTTTTGTCGGTCAAACATTACTTTTTGTCTAACGTTCTCCATAGAATAGTTCTCCAGGAAAAACAATTCCACAACTGGTTATTTCCTTTCAAACAAACGGAGCCAAAATATGATCTTAAAAAAAGATAAAGAACAACAACTGTATACTCTTAAACCTGCCGTTTAGCGTCCCCCCATAAAGTTAGGGCATCTTCAACGCGCCTTACAGAGTTGAGATAAATGAAAATTGGGCCAAAAACTTTCTTCCATGGCTCGCCTTGTCCAAATTTTGGAGTTAACTCGTCTCCAGCATAATGAGAACCAAGGAACACCTAATGAAGTGGAAACATACTTCAGAAATGCGAAATACTAGTATACTACTATAAAATATATCATCATTCAATACTTAGAGGTTGCTTACCGCAAGGGTTGTGGGACCAACATGTGACGTAAGGTTCTGTTTGACAGGCCCACCAGATCGAAACTCATCACTGGGTGTGATTTGCCAGAAGCCAACAGGTGGGTTCATAGATATCCATCCATGTACCTTATTATCCTTGTTATCACATGAATATTGGTACTTGTCATCTACCTAGAAAATAATGTAGCGACCATAGAGTTATCACAACAGTGTATTAGTTAAGATTAATCAGTTCTCAATAAAAAAAACACAAACACATACTTGCTAGTAAATCAAAAGGAACCAACTGGTAGAAATAACTAAAAATAACTAGTTTATTATTACTTCTCCTCTTAATTCTGGATTGACGGGGTTGACAAGCAGAACTGCTTCTTGGTAAGCAAGGGGCTGGCATCTGCCACGCAACCGGTCATCTGGTAGGGGCATAAGCCTTTGCCTATCGTCCGCCACAGCCATGTATTGAAATCTATGGGATATAATTGCCACATGGTTAGTAACAGTGTGAATATCTTAGAGAAAAGATGGTCATGTTTCAGATACTTGAAGTCAGCATGTAAGGGCCCGTTTGGTAAAGGTTATGTAGCTAAAATGACTGAATCTGACTAAAAAGAAAAGCATTTAGTAAAATCAATTTAAACCAAACAGGGCCTTAATCTGCAGTAAACATGATATGACATACATGGGCAAGGCCCTAGCCCCCTTACTTGTCTTTCCTGAGCTTGAATGCTACCCTGGTTTCACCAAGACTGAAAGCAGGCCATTCTGGAGAACCAACATGCTCATAAATGGCATATGTATAGAAACCAGACGAACCGCGGAGCAAAACAAACCTATAATCAGATTGTCATTATAATTCCTGTTAAAATGTCATCAAACTTTCAGCAGCCACAATTAACCATCAACTGCTTCAGGAGTCTAAAGAAAAGTAAAGACCTTTTATCTATGTTTAGTGGAACAAGCTTTCCCTGAAAGGAAGGATCCCATGGCCTCGCAAATGATAGCTCAACTTGTTCCTCATCTTGCTTTATTACTCTAAAATTTGTTGCTTTAATACTGCACCATAACAAAATTATTTAGACAAAAAATGTGTTGTCTATAACATGTTACAAGCATCTCTAGGCATTGTTTGGTTATTCAATACACCCTAAAGCAAATAGACGAAGAAATGGCATACACTTCAAATATTCCAGCTCTCCCACCATCATTTGCATTCCACACAACATCCCAGTACCTACACGTTACATGAAGTTTGGATGACTATTATACAAGTCTCAAAAGTTAATAATCAGGGAGGTCTCTTAGAAATTAATACCCTCTGTTAGACTCATTGTTAAGAGTTTCAAGCAGATTGTCGATGCCATTATAACGAATGCCAGTAACAATCCCATCTGGCTTTGATAGAGTGACTTGGACTATGCCATTATCCATCACTACCTGCAATTGTGCTTTTCATTGAATGAAACATGTGCTGATGTGCCAAACACGGTACAATGCAAATAAATAAACAAACAATGCATTATCTTACATGGTGATCTTGAATATACAATCGCAATCCTGGGGCTGACATTGATCCAGAACCACCACTATGCCTGTGATCCCCTACAGAATAAGAGAAATTTAAGATCGCTTTAATGGCACGACCTAATAGCCATAGCTTCGATTTTCATTCGCAATTAGTATTAACGTTTGGCTAAGTTCCTTTTCACAAAGTAAAAAGATTATATTCGAATAAATCAATCGATACCTATGCTATGCCACTTCAATTTTGGTATTTGAGTGATAAAGATATAAATTAGAGGAGAAGACGAAGACCTGTGTGGCTGCCACGTGTGCATAGGCTATGTACAATGCTCCTGAAGTTACGGCCACAACCCATTCTCACGTTTTTAGTCCGTGACTATAACGCGCCACCGCCAACTAGTCGGGATCTTCCTCCTAAGATCTTGTCTTTACATCCTTTTATCTCGACCGGCTACCAACCACCTTCCAGCGTTTTTGTTTCCGGTTCTACCCCTTGAATGGTGCAAATGGGCAAATCCCTTGGCTTAGGATTAACCATTGACAAAGACCTCTGAATATTACTGCTTAGTAACCATAACACGTTTTATGAGAGTTTTTTTTGAAAATAATGCTAAATAACAAATTATTTATGAAATTAGGGTCGGGTTAAAACTATTTACCAAAGTACTGCTGTATTAAACTAGAGTTAAACAAAACCGCCAAACCAGTTGGTGACTTTCAAAACGCCAAATCACTTGGCGACTTCTTGTGAAAAATACCCTAGAGAAATATTGTTAGTGGGGCCCCCAGAATTAAAAAAGCCATTTTTCTTTAAAGTGTTATAATGTTTTCATTTTTGCTCCATTTTTTACAAAAAATATATCAAAATTTATAATTTTTTATAATTTTTCAAATGACACTAATATTGCATATATAAAGTTTAAAAAAATTAAAGTTTTTTAAACAACTTTTCTATTTTCCATTCTCCATACGGATTATTTTGTACGTAGTATTAAATAAAGAAATAATTTTTTGTGTATCATTGTTTACTATATTTTTCCTTAATTGTGTGGCAGTTTCATGTATATTGGAATAAAATAAAGACAAAAATGTAAGGTTTCAGAGAACCTTACTAAAACCACGAGTACTCGTACTCAAACTTCGTCCACAATATTTATTTTAGTAAGGTTTTAGGGAAAGACGCTTAAATAAAAGTGAAATAAAAAATAATTATAGTCACTAAATAAAATGTGACAAAATTGACAATGAGTACCTGTTCATATTCAATTTAATATAAAATTTGTACGTAACTATAGTCACTAAATATTTATATCTCACAATTTTCTTAGGCTATTACTCGTATTATTGTGATCATACATTAAAAACTACTCTCTATCTCCTTGGTATTTTGTTACTCGGCCAATGTTTTTTATTGAATCCGAAAAAAGTTTTAATTAAAGAGGGATATTTTCAAGAACAACAGAAATTCGCTTACATTTCACACTATGTAAAACTCGCTTGTGTCTGTATTATAACTTGAAGCGACAAGTTTACATGGGATGTTGATGAAAAGTATAAGAAATGACATACTAAATTCAAGGAAATATTTAAAAGGCTTACATTTTTGTCTGTATTTTTTTCAATATACATGAAACTGCAACACAATTAAATAAGAATATAGTAAAACAATGATACACAAGAAATTATTTCTTTATTTAATACAAAATAATCCGTAAGGAGAATGGAAAATAGAAAAGTTGTTAAAAAACCTTCAGTTTTTTCAAAAACATTTTATACATGCAATATTGGTGTCATTTGAAAGATCATAAAAATTTATGAATTTTGATATATATTTTAAAAAAATTGGAGCAAAAATGAAAACATTATAACACTTCAAAGAAAAATGGCTTTTTTTAATTCTGGGGGCCCCACTAACAATATTTCTCTACGCAGGAATGTTGGTATGTGGCCATATTTTTCACAAGGAGTCGCCAACTGATTTGGCGTTTTGAAAGTCGCCAACTAGTTTGCCGGTTCTTCTTCACCCTGGTTTAATTCCGCAGTATTTTGGTAAATAGTTTTAACTCAACCCTAATTTCGTAAATAATTTTTTGTTTAGCATTATTTTCCAAAAAACTCGTTTTATTACATGTATATGATGCATCTATGTGAGTGATCCATGTTACACAAATAAAAATAACATAATAAAAGAAAAAGAAAAAAAAAACAATTATACTTTGGTTAAAAAAAGATTATACAAATAGCCAAACCCGTCATTGTGGGGTTGATGTAAACAATCCGTAAAATTACAACAATTAAAGTGAGTGTGTATACTGTGGTATCATCCCACGGTGAGCACCGTGTTCCCACATGCAAAATGATGTAGTTTTGCACAATTTAAAAAAAAATCGTGTGAACAGTAACACGTGAACAGTACACACGTGTAGAGTGATTGTTTTTTGTCCCAGTAGTATGAATGATGTAACTCGCGTGTAAAGATATGTAATCACGTTATTGATCAATGTAACTCAAGCAGTGGCGGATGTGGTAGTGTTCCAAGGTGTTCACATGAACACCCAAAATTTAAAAAATAATGCAAGTATATATGTGTAATTTAATACTATTTATTCTTCTTTAAAATTTTATTAGTTAAAACATTGAACACTTAAAAAATGGATCCTAAATCCGCCACTGAACTCAAGCCCATTTGAAATGTAACTTATCAAATACATATTATAAGAAATAAAACATTGATTTCAATGCAAACAATGAAAAAAGAGTCTAAACTACACAATTACTTTACGTAAATCGGGAATATGTTTTGTTTTTAATATCATGACCATCATAAGGATTTTAAAAAAAATCATTTTTTTGTTTCTGTAGCAGGGGGTTATTTTTTATGTAACTCATGTTTTTATAAATGTAACTCGCGTTGATGACAAATGTAACTTGCGCTTCAGAAGATGTAACTCGCTTATAAAATAATGTAACTCAAACATAAAAATATGTAACTCGCGCATGAGAAGGCGTTACTCAAATATAACTTCAGGAATCATGTATTTATGTAACTCACATATATGAAAATTTAAATCACATACATGAAATTTTAATCACCTGTTTTATCATATGTAAATAGAAATTAATAAACTCTATGTCTTAAAAAACACTAAAAACATATAAAAGAGATAAAGATTTTTTTCAGAAATATATTATTTAAAAAGTAATTGTAATCATATTTTTAATATTTTAATGAAGGAGATGAATAAAATTGAAAAAGAAAATAAGTAAAAAGAAGAAGAAAGAGAATTAGATCAGAAAGCAGGCAAGAGAAAAGAAAGAGGAAGCAGGGAAGAAAAAGTTAGTGGAAGCATGGGCATAGTGCAAAAGAATAAAAAATCGGGAGGAAGCGTTGCGTGCGAACGGTCGGTGCTTGAGTAAAAAGGCAGGGTAATTTTAATTAGAAAAACGCTGCACTAATGGGATCAGTACACCATGCGCATGGTGTGTCGATCCCACGGTATAATTTACGAATTAATATATGCAAAAGAATTTTGAAATGATTCATACAAAGTTACTACATAGAGTACGTACAAATGTCTTGCCTAGAGCATGACACTTGATATCATATTTTAGTGTATGTGGAGATCAAGCAATAAACATAAATGTGTACATTTGACCCTAACAACAAATGAATCGTGAATTTTACACACATAAGATATGGGCGCTGCTAAAGTATCAAGATTATGAATCTATATGATGAATAAAGCTGGTGTTCATTGTACTTTCTTACCCAACCCATTGTCTAACAGCCTAAGGGTCTGTTTGCAACAGCTTCTGCTTTTAAAAAAGTGCTTTTTTTAATGAAATGAGGAGAAGTGATTAAATAAAAGTTGATAGTATTTGAGAAAAAAATGATTTTGAAAAGTAAAAGTGGGTAGTGTTTGGTAAAATAAGTGCTTTTTGTGTAATAGAAAAAGTAAAAGCACTTTTGACGCGTAAGCCGAGAAAAATAAAAGTTGTAGTGTTTGGGAAAATAAGTGCTTTTTTAAAGCCAAAAGCTTAGAAGTGCTTTTTTAAAAGCAGTTGCAAACCAACCCTAATAGTACGATTTTCGATTAATCATCAAAACAAAAGTATATGGTAGATTTAAGGTTCCCAATTCAAACATTTTCAATAATTGAGATCATATAACGATATATTTCGTCTTTCAGCATTGAAACTTCGACCTTGCAATCAATTTGTTAGTATTTATAAATGACTCCGTACATTATTGTGGTGCATTTAGGGTTGTCAATTCAAACATCTTCAAACGGACGACCACCATTATTATTTTTTATCAAACAAAAAAATGTAAATTGAAGATGGTCTCACATTTTATACTCAGTGGGTAGGGCTTTTCAAGAATCTGAGTATAACTCTGATTCCTTATAAATGCAGCATTTTATATCAAGAATCTGAGTATAACCCTCGGTCGAAATGGACTCACATTTTACATACAATCAACCGTTGACCGCAAATCCAAAGTCATACAAGAATTGTCAAGAAATAGCTAGCTAGTGTAGTGTACAAACATGAAGATGATTCGTAAGTATGTAATAGAAAAGTATTCCCAACAGACTGCAGCTTCGGAGCTTCCTATTGTGATCGTGACTGCTCAGATTTCTTCTGGAAAATAAGTGACCCTAACAAAACAGCAATTCCTGTTATTGCAATCGTGAACAGAAGACGCTTCTTCGAAAGCACCTCGTTAGGAGGCCTTCTAGGAATGCTATTATGATTATTAGTATGATCAGTTTCTGCTTCACTTGTGTTCCTGCATCCAAATAGATAAAGAATAAACATCCAACCCTGTATAGCTAATATTTAGTCTTCCTTTGTTTCCTGGGAAAATGTTTTCCTGGAAAATTCTAATAATAATTTTGGTTCTCACCCAGTAATCAATTTTACATATTTGTTCAGACTTGGTTAATTTATTTATGTATGTTACATAAAGGCTAAAAAACATAGATGTATAACTATGTATACACAAATTTAAAAAATCAAATTTGATTTTTGTCAGTACTTTCCAGGTTTAAGGCCATATTAAAAAATCAAACTATTATCCTGAGTCCTTGCCATCATTTTCAGGGTTCCACAGTTTTTTCTGTGTTCCAAGAATAGCCTTAATTTCCAAGGAAACATTTTCTACTGAAAACATTTTAAATTTGTATTATGTACTAACGTAACTGATCAACATAACTTTTCAATCGTAAATGTCACAAACTCACAATTCCCCTTACTTTTTGCATGATTCAACATAAAATAGGAGTATATTAAGAAATCAAAGCAAAACCTTAAAGGGCAGCCCGATGCACGAAGGCATCCCCGCAAGGCGAGGGTCCCGGGAAGGGTCCCTCCACAAATATGTGTAGGTCAAACTGGAAAGTTATTTTTGGGACAGAGAAAGTATGATGATTTTTTCAACTCTTTTTTAGCATATATTTATACTTCTATGTTTAATATAATACGGAATAGAAACAAATA